AGTACTTTGCCAACGCAGCCCAGGATACAATCAGCTGCCTCTGCTGCACGGGCACACCACTGGCTCATGTTCAGCTTGGCATCCCAAGTCCTCTTCTGCAGAGCTGCTTTCCAGTTGGTTGGCCTCCAGCATATACTGGTGCATGGGGTTGTTCTTCCCCAGGTGAAGGGCTCTGCACTTCCCCTCACTGAACTGCACGAGGTCCCTGTCAGCCCGGTTCTCCGGCCTGCTGAGGTCCCTCTGGGCGGCAGCACGATGCTCTGGTGCGTCTGCCACTCCTCCCACTTTTGTCATCAGCAAACTCGCTGATGGTATATTCTGTCCCTTCATCCAGACCATTAATGAAGATGTTGAACAGGATCGGACCCAGAGGGACCTCAGCCATCCTGCTGGCAAGGATGCCTTTGTCCTGCCTCAGTGAGGAGGATCCCACCTCTCCCAGGCAGACCCTGCAAACAGGGTCCCATGGTTGTAGAACCCAAAACCCCGTTGCCAACACAAGCTCCACAACCAACTGCTGATGTGCATTGCCAGTGCCCTCCTCCTCACACCCTTTCCCCTAACTGGGGGGATCAAGGAGACCACTACCCACGCCCCTGGGTTCCTGGCAATCGCCCCCAGAGCTCTGCAGTCAGTATGAACGCAAAAACGATGCTCTACATAATACAATACATACCGACTTGTATGTAAAACCTATACATCCATGACTTCAACAGCCCAAGACCTCGGGACTTCAACAGCCCAAGACCTCAAAATAAATATTTAAATGTTTAGAACAAGGTGTGTATACATATATAAATGTATATAGAGAGACAATATTCTGCATGGGATTAGTACTATTATTGGGTGAAATACTCTATTTTAATGAGTATCTGAAATGAATGCTGGTGATAAGGCAACCTTGCAAAATCTTAGGCTTATATGAAATCAAACCTGAACCTTGAGTAGGGTGAAAAGAACAATAAAAAAAACCTTTTCCTTATTTAACTGGGTAAAATTTAACTCCTCAAGGAAACAAAACTCATTTTAAAAAAATGCACTATCTGTAATGATTACACTTAAACCACAGAAAAAAATTAATATTCTGAACACCATTCAAAGGACATAATAATGGAAATTAAGTGCTGAAAACTCCTAGTGCTCATGCAATTTATATCTAATTTAACTTGGAAAGGAAGCCACTGACTTCCAAAAGATGAGTTTGGTCTTGATTTCTTTGCATTAACCACAATAAAAAGACACATCTTAAAAATCTCTTTGGAAAATTATACAAATTACCTCTATCCTCTTATAAAACCATTTTCTCATCTTTTACTTAGTATGAAAGAAATCACTAAAATATTAATACAAAGCTAAAGTGTAGCGGCAAGAATAATTTTCAGAATGTGTTTATTCTTCAAATACTAGTTAATTAAAAACTATAGCATTTTTTAAAAGCCAGAAAAACAAGCTAATATACTAGAGAAGTGCTATAAAGCATGGACGGTAAGCAGGTGGAAAACCTTTACTTCTCAAAGTTGTTACCGTGCATGTAAAATAATTGGCCAACTCAAATAGTCCTTATTGAAATAACTAAATTAATAGCTTGTTAGAAGAATACAGACAAATTATACAATTCTGTGAATTAGTTAAAATGGAGAATACAATGTAGCACTAAATATAAATATCAGAACCAAAGACAAAAACAAAACAAGAGATGCAGACGTTGCTCCTGATTTATTCTGTGACCTTCAGAAGCCTCCCTCCCTGCGCTCAGTAAACCTTCCTATTATATAAAGCTTTCAAGAGAGCTTTGTGTAAAGCATTTAAGAGCATTACACAACTTCCTTTTACTTTTATATGCACTTTAAAAAAAAAAGTATTTTTAAAATATTTAAATACTGCAAAACCACTTTTTAGGCAAAGAGCTGTTAAAAAAGAGACTCCACCAAGCTGTTCTTTGCAAAGAAAAAGTAGTAATACATTTTCTGTAAAAATGATAGAAACAAGACCCCCGTTTGAAAGTTTTCCAGTCTCTCTCCCAATTGTAAAGAGCCATGTGCATGCTACAACATGCAGCCCAATTCTACATGGGTTTTCACCATTTGACACTAGGCAAAATAGGCTGTATAAATTCATTCGTTTTGTGAATTTAAGCAGTCTAAAGCTGTTCTGAGAGAGTGAAGTTCCTCAAATATGCATCAGGACCCTTCCAAGGACACCAAAGCATGAGCCAAATGCCTTCTCAGGACCACCTGGAATTCCGAAGCCAGCTCTGCAGCCTCCAAACAGCCAGCAGCTTCCCCGTGCTATTTTTTTGGTCTCAATCCAGGCAACCATGTCTTGCGTGTCAGAAATACTACACGACCTAGGTGTAGACCTACGTTAGAGATACTGTCTCCTAGAACCCGTTCTTTTGTTTGCTAAGTCTCTATCTTATCAATGAAGACTATTTGTATTAGTCTGCACTGGTTACACAAAACAGTGAGAGAAGACCTCGGCGATGATGCATATTTCAAAATGCACTTTGCATCTCTGGAATCACTGCAGCCTTCTGTGATACATCCAATACTGTCAGAAACAGGTTTCAGGCAAAACATTATTCATCTGACACTGTTGATATATGTTTTATCTCAGCCACGTTACATTCATTGCAATATAGCAGATGCCAACATCTAGAATTAGACACAGCGGCCAAATCAAAAGGACAATGCACCAACAATGGGTTCTTCAGCATGATCATTTGTCCATTCTCACTATATTCCTGTATTCTACCCCTTCAGGCATCTTGCTGTAGAAGTGATGATCTGCTGCCCTACATCAAAGAATCTAAAAATTCTGGAGACCACCTGATAGCTACAGTACTAACAAGACTGACTCAAGGACGGCATTTCACACAACAGAAGACAAAGTTCAGTCACGCTACTACGATCCTGGACTGCTCAAGCACAGTGGTCACACTGTTGAAGACGGTTCAGTACAAAGGTAGGATAATCTAACAGAAGCATCCGCTCACCTAATACGTAGTCCCATAAAAATCTTTGGTCTGGCTATGAAAAGCTACGCTTCAGAAGCCACAACAGGAGCCATTAACGAGTTATGCAATAAAAAACCAGCTTGTCAGTGATTCACACATAGGCTGATCACCACAAAAGCAGTAAGCCTTTTACAGCATGGGATTTGTCGCAACTGCAGTTAAGGATCCCCAGAGCTAATAGTTAAACTACACTGGATTCCTTACTCACAAATTTCTGTCTTCAGGTTTAGATCAGCAAGAAGTGTCCAAATTTTACTACTTATCCATGCCACCAAGAAAATTGCCATTCTGTATTAACCTATAGCTTCTCATCTCTCGTAGTCTACATTCTGACAAAACAACCTCGGAAATGCAAATACTAATTTTTACCCCCGCCTCCAATTCTAGGCTTGATCTACAGGAACTCTAGTTGATTATTTCTTCCAGGTAGTTCTTCACTGTTAGCTGTGCTCAGTACTTTCACACTACTTGGTCAACTCAATTTTATTCTACCCACTAAATCCATCAGTGGCAAATTCAAAGGTATTTAAAGACAGTAAACTGTAGTTAAAATTAAGAAGTGTCGACAACTACATGACCATACCATTCACCGTTCATCTTCACCCTTCAGAAGACATTTTGAAAAGCAAGGTTCTTTGTATATTCTCACTGAAAATGTTTGAGGACACAGTTTTGAAAAGCAGTAGAGCCTTTTGAAATCCACAATTCAGTGCTGTCCTTTGGGAAACAGCCCTAACCAAGCAGGCTAAAAGGGGGTCCAATATTCCATATACAACTTCTCAGTCAAAAGTGCTTCTGCAGTAGTCACCAACAGAAAAAGGGACACCATCCAGGGAAGGGTTTGCTACTTGAAAGATTCAAATAGCGATATAGCTCCATGCTGTATCACTCATGTATCATAAGCAGTTGTTCATTATTTGATAAGAGTGGATTTCAGCTAGTCATCATTAATATTCACAGTAAAACTCCAACGTGGGTGATCTGACCACAGCATGGCACATACTCCAGCTGCAACTCCTCCCTATTACAAGGACAGGTGTATGACTGACTTATTTTTGTTTGGTTTTATGAGCCAACTAAACTCAGATTACAATTTAAAAGAAGGTTTAGCTGATGTAACTACTAAGTGCTGTGGTCCTGGATGTTCTTTAATTACAGAGCTTGTCTACCTCTGGCCTGAGCCACTCCTGCTTGCTAACCCAATTTTTAAGCGTAAAACTAACCAGACTGCAGGAAGGAAAAAGAAGGCTGTACAATGTTTCTGCCGTACTAGTTAGAAGTACAGACTCAGAAAAATGCCTGGCGATAATAATAGGAAATGGGCATTACCAGGGCAAAAGGGGGCAAGGAATCTCACGGCCAAGCAGGAGTGGAAAGGATGAGAGCAGAAACAGCACTTCCCATAGCATAAGCTGCCACAGAACCAAAAGCCTGAGCCATCACCTTAGTGTGAATGTTTTACAGGTAAATGAGGCAATCTACTTAAACTCTTAGTTTTTTAGACCCATTTAAAACTTGTTTCGAAAAGAATGCGATAACTTGGTAATATGCAAATTTTAGCAGCAGGTCATTATTTTTCCCTATCTTTTCAATCCACTTTTAAAAATATCTTGTGACACCCTAACACATCCCATTCTTTGAATGGAACCTGACAAAGTCAGACTCTGCTTTAAAGATGCACTTGTTGCTGTTCCATGTGTTAATGACAAACTCACTTTGAACCCACACCACCAAGTTGAAGAAATCCTTAAAATCATTTCTAAGTTGTTATTCAGTGAAGTATTAACACCCCAACACCAGGAAAAAACATGCAATAACGCTGACGTTCATTAATACTTGATGTGCACTTTTAGCCTACTGTTTATTAAAAAGATTGGTAGTCCTGTTTTTCTTTTCAATATAAATAACAGCAACTAAATGCCATATAAATAACTGCTATCAGATACAAGAATGGGTAGGACCACATCATCATCATCATCTTTACCTCTTTAATTTTGTTCCTCTTCTCTCGGATATCCGGGTCTGCTGGTTCTCCACTGTTTATGCCTATAAGATTTGGTAAAGGAACAGGGGGCAGTGGCTTGCTGTCTTTCTTTTTCAACTCTTGCACTACTTTGTTCTTTTCTGTCTGAATCTCAGCTTGAATCTCATCACGTGATTTCTTCAATTTCTCCTTAGCCTCTTCCAGAGCCTTTTCATGATCTGCTCGGATCTTATTTCTCAGACGTTCCTCTTCTTCTCTAGAGACACAAATGCTAGTCAGCATCTCAGTACTAAAAACACATTGTTATAAACAAACTGCAGCTTCAAAACAGAAGCCACATCCCAAGTTGGTTTACTCTAAGTAATTCTAATGATTCAGACAAGTTTACTGAATTATGTTAGTGCACAATCCTACGCTATTTTTGCCATGAACCCCAAAAGTAAACCAGCGCACCCACCAGCAACATTATTGTAGAAAAATGTATCATCGGGGTTTCCTAGATTATATCTCAGCACCTTTGCTTGTCTGCTCAAGAATTTAGAGAGGAGAAGCTCTACACCCTGTACTTCAACTACAGGATGCGTGCAGAGGCACTACTAGCAATCATTCAGTTTAAAAAAAAATAAAAATCAGAAGGGCCTTTATTCGCCTTCTGCACAATAAATACATCGCACACAACTAGTCAAGATTTGAAGTAACCACTACAAAAAAAAAATTGCAGCCACTCCTTTTATTAGCAACGAGGTGTGAGCTGCAAGAGTTGCAAACCCCACCGCGGCATGTTTTGTCTTGAATTCAGAACTCATTGTTCCAATCAGTACGGTCCATAAACCTCACAAGTTAAATGCAGAGTTAATTATAAAGCCATTCAGGAACGTAAGAGCTTTTAGAAAAGCATGATTTTGAAACTCACTGCCAACAAAACCAACATCATCTTGGTTCTAAGCACAATCTTCCCTAATGATCTTTAATGATCAGTAGAAGTTTTGAGATTCGCACACAAAATGAAGAGCGCTGTTTTAAAGCCTGGGTTAAACAAGATGTTATTCAAACAACAGACAAAAATGGCCCAATCCGGTCCTAAAATATTCCAAGGCATCAGGAAGATACACGTCAGAGTCAATATAACACCACCTTTTCAAGCTTCTTTAAAATATAGAGTTGCTCAATGAATAATGTAAGCCAAAATAGTTGTAGGGATTTAAAATAAGCACTACTTACAAAAAGCCACGCTCCCTCCCTGTTGCCTCCCCCAGGCAAAACCACTTTTTTCCTCAAAGAGCATTAAGGAGTAGAAAGTGGATAACGGAATGGAAAGGCGGCAAGCAGCAAGCCATGTAAGAAATATCAAGCTTGGCCTAACTGCTTTTAGGAGGAACAGAGCCACTTGACCCATATCACATGTTTTTCCCAGTATACTGAAAACGCACCAATGAAAAGGAGCACCGACCATTTGATACGCGAGTATTAGAATGGAAGAGCTCAGCTGGAAGGGACCTACAGCGACCATCTAGTCCAACTGCAATTAAAAGCCAATCCAAAGTTTACAGAAAAAAAATAAACACAAGATTGACGACTGTTAACCAAACACTGACAACAAAAATAGGAACGTATCTACATATTTAAATTGGGATACTCTTCCTACAAAGGTTATTAAAAATATTTGACAAAGTCTATGATAAACCAATAATGTTTCCAGAGATTCAAACAAATTTTAAGTAACTCATTGGGGTGCTGTGTTGGAATATTTGGGGATACGGACAGATCTTACTAGCTTTGCAAGTATAATAGAACTGTTTCTATTCATCTCACTGGTCAAGATCGCGTCACGTTTATTATAGAGCACTGCTTCACCTTTACAAAAAAAGAGCAAAGAACGAAGCTAATAAGGAGTAACTTGCCCAGAGTTACGACAAAACAGCATCAGAGCAATCCCACCGGACAGGGCCACTTTGTGCAAGGTTTACGACTGTTAGAGTCCTTTGCCTAAGGAGAGCTGATTTTAAGTCAAAGTGCAATAAATCAAGCTTTTTGTTCCAGAAATCCACAGTTCGAACCCCCAGTGCACTGGCCCTGACTGCTCAGGGCTCAAAACCATCCAGTATATTTTTAAGTTAAAATTCATACACCTCTTTGCTCCAGTCTTTAGCTTAGGCTCAAAAGCTCAAATAGAGACTTTTTTTAGGCGCACGTTTTATTCTCAATTTGGCGAAGCCTGACATCGCTTGATGTCATCCAGAAAATAACTTCCCAGTTTACAGGCCAATTCGCGTAGCATGCGGGGGAAAACCACGGCACTAGAACAGAAATGCTCTCAGCAAAATGCATTGTTACACCAAGAGTGTTTTATCAGGCCTTACATTCTTCTTAAGTGCTATTAGGTTTGCATTTTAAAAAAAATTATAGTAGCATTATTACCTTTCGATATTTCAGTACCAGAAACACAATGCAAGGTTTCAACTAATGCACTGACTGGAAGGCATTCAAACTCAAGTTCTTCAGCCGCTTTTCTCAATATGACCCATGTCACATCCATATTTCTCCCAAAAAATAAAAAATGAAGGACTGAGCTCCTCTCTTTGACCGTCAAATCCAGGCTCATTACCACTGTTGAACAGTAACAGTCCTCCTCTCCCTCAACTGCAGAGCAAAGAAACAACTTTCCAAGTGGCAAAAGACTAATCTAAAGAGAGAAAATACAAGTAATACCATTTAGGATAAATTTTACTTCTTCTATGACCCGTTTATGGGGGAAAATAACTTTCCCATATTCCTGTAAAAGTCACTCACGTTCTATTGTGGCAGCAACGCGCTCAATTCAGCAACAAAAGCAGCTGAAAATTTCTATCAACTGAAAGATGTGAAACCATAGATCTGTAGTCTGGAAAAGCTTTTCCAAGGCTAGCAGAGGGCTCTGCGCAAGATGCGGCTAGAGAGAATGAGAATGAGGTTGCCAGAAGGAGAAGTCGTTCCCCACAGTCATGTTCTCACCAGCCGACAGCACGCTGTAGAGGAGCCAAAGAGATGGCTTACAGAGACTGAGAAATGGGAAGCGGTACTGAACGTTTAAGAATCAAAATACTTGAGCGTGGGGGATAATATATTTTGGAGGTACATTTCTCATTTTCAAAACTCAGTTTCTGGAGGCAAGTGACAGCCTCTTCCTACTAACTAGGTCTACCAGATCTACTAACATTTTGTTAATAGATATTGAAATTCTTTTTGCAAAGGATCGACCATCACTGAAAAATCTGAATTTTTAGAAAAACAGGGTAACAAAGTATCTCAGACCTTAATAAAAACATGTTCAAGGCATATCCACGTTAACCTAATTTGAAGAGGATGCTTTACAATGAGTGTGCTTTATTCATAAATAGAAACGCTTTTGATAAAACCCATGGTTAACATGCATGTCCCCGAATACGATCCCCTGTGTGAAAACAATTAACGATGTTTGAGTCGTTATAGTGAGTCTGACTCACTCAAATGAGTCACTGGCGATGGGCTTTGCGCACCTTCACGATTTTGCACCATCAAGTTCGAGTGCCATGAAGATTTTGCCTTTACCTTGCCTTTTCATTGTTAGTCCCAGGCGCTGCATACAACAGTAATAATAAAAGCTCCATGGCTCCACCAGCTTCATCTATTTCTAGATTCAAACTGCGTGAAACAGCCATAAATTGGAAAACAAGTTTTGAACTCACGTCTGTTTACGCTGCAGGAACCGCTGTATAAACATACAAAAGCTGCTGATTCCTACAGCACTGTAATCCAATTAGAGTCATTAAGGAGGTTTGAATGACAGTCTGCTTTCCTTCAGTCACCCAGCAGAATACCTAAGTGTCTGAAGAAAATACAGAGACTCAATAGAGATGAAAAATTCTAGCAGTAACCGTATGATCAGCTCCAAGTCTTCCAGGAAGTGACATTTTGAGACAAACATAAGAAAACAGTAAGATGAAGAGAAAGGTCAACAGGTATTTGAGAGAGTTTATAGGAGATCGTACAAGAGCTTCTTCTGCAGATATTCTCTATGCAATTACCAATGATGGACAGCACGAGTTACAAGAAATGTCATATTCTACATTCCAGCTGAAGACATATTTTACCAAATATATTAACGTATATGATCTTAATGGAAGAAAAATCACACCCCTCAATACCAGTACCACGTTTCTTCTGAGTTCTTAAGCAACAAGAACTAAGTGAAAATACAGAATAAAATTAAGAGAACGAGGAGATTGGAAATGTGGGAGCAGCTGACGCCCCCGAAGTCACACCCAAAGACCAACAAGCTCCCCATACAGCATAAGAAACAGCCAACAACAGTTTAATGCATGTAGATAGCACTACATTCAAATACTCAGAGTTAAAGAAAAGAGACCTCAGAAAAGATCAATCTAAAAATATAAGACTGGAAAGAATCCCAGCATAAACACATACACCAAAATGTGTCAAACAGTTTCCCTGTCCAACTACCCGCCCCATCCCGCTCCTAGGCAACATAAGCAAACTCTTAAAATACAGAGTATTCTGAGTAAATCTTCAAAAACGTTACCTAACAGAAAGCTGCTGCTTCCTTCTAGTCACCCCAACAGCTCATTCTAAAGCCTCAAGACAGAGGTTCAAGTACCATGAAACTACAGCCGTGGCTACTTTAAAACAAGCAATATTATTAAAAGAATCTGTGATTAGACTATTTTTACCAGCAAGAACCATCAACAGACCTAATAATTAGGACCTGAAACTAGAAAGAGGAGCGAGTTTTTTAAACAATCACTGCAACTAACTATTGCAGCTGCTTATGCAGGAACACTGCGCGCTCAGAGCATCCGTGAGCTGTCTAAACGTCATTCCGAGAAGACCACAAATTGTAACACCTGATAACCGAATCACTAACCGAAGCTTCACGCGCTTTAATCACGCACGCGGCAGTGAGCCTTCTGAACTTAACGGCCACCACAGCTTCACTTGCCAAGGCAACGAGTTTTAAGTCTCTCCTATCGGCTGTGACACAGCAGGCTCCTTCGAAACCGAACCGCAAAAAACCAAAAATGCTTTCAAACTTCTTCGTAAGACTCAAGATCAAAAAGGAAATGAAAATTAGAACGGAGTCAAGAAAGGAAAACTGGCCACCAGCAGCTGTGCTCTCAGACTAAAAAGCAGAGCACTGGGTCGCTGTAGCAGGACAACCCGTTTATTATCGTTTGGATTTTCAGCAGATGGATAGGCAAGAACTGTTAAAGCACATCAATA